TTAGGGTTTGGGGTTTACGGTTTAGTAATTTTTGGTTGCAGCCGGAAACTGAAACTTTGGGCTTCGATGGGCTTAAGGAGTCATGTTGTCCCTGTTCCATGGTTAGAACGATGCCTACAAAGCGAGGTTCTGACAAGAGCAAGCGAGAAATTTTGCTTAGGATGTCATGGTTTAAGGTTTAGTTTGTGTGTGGGCGTGGCTCCCGAAGGATTCCATACAAGGTGAATGGTTTTGGGGTGCCTGGTGGAGTTTCTGAAACGCTTTTTAGGGCTTCCATTTTTTAAATCGAAATAGAAACAAATAAATACATGTGACGAAAAACATAGTACGTCTATATATATATATATGTGTGTGTGTATACACACAAATTTATATATATATATATACATGTACACATAGTATTTGCAATAGTATTTCGGTTCTTGACTATTCATGGGGCTCAGAGCGCAACGGCGTGACGAGTTGATTCGGACATGGGCTTAATGCCTGGAGTTTGACACTCGCACTCGGGCCAGGCAGGCGAGGACTGCAACGATGATCAAACAAGGCGAAGAGCGACACCACGAGCTGTCGCAAGGGCTACAAAAACATAACGGGACCCAATACACAATCGCAAGCTTCCCAGGCCAGCCGAGATTTTTCTGTTTAGCAAACCTGAAATAGTTCATGGAGAGATAAATAGTGCGGTGCGGCACGCCTTCTTTCAGGGGCAATATTTCGGTTTCGAAAGCCTAGGAATTGCAGATGCCACAGCTGTAGACATGCCGGTGATGTGAGCTAGGCCGACCCGGCTGAATCTCAGCTTCACTAGGCACAAACCCTCTTACTTGCGCAACATGAAGTACTCATGAACTTTCATCTGCCCATTAACGAAGACGATCACACCACTCTGTTAAGTCAAGTCCAGGCACGATCAGGGCCCTCAGAAAGGCCTTGTCCGTCAGTTGCCACACCTGCTGCGCATGCACCTCAACCCTGAATCGTAAGCCCAAACCTGTCTCCTAAACCCTAAACCCTAAACCGGGAAGATCACAGATCGAAGGCAGTCTGCTCTGCCCTGGATGTGCTGAAGCTGACAACATTCTCAAACGTGCCCAGCATTAAAAGCCTTTCGACAAATCTCAATTGTCTGCATGGGCCCTTCATCCCTTCAGACCGGCAGCAAGTATGTCTGATGATTTCCAATCTCGATAGCGAGCAGCGGACGGTGCTTTCCTAATACAGGGGCCTTAACAATTAGAATAGGGTTTTGGGGGTATATTATACGATAAGTATATAGCATAATGAGGAACCCCTCCCCACCCCCCCCAATAGTACTAGTAATTATTTAGGCCCCTGTATTCCCCCTCCAGTACACTGTTGGAGGGACATGAGCGACACCCTCTCGCGAAAGACAGCGCTTGTGCCTGGCTCTGGCAGCACCAAAAGAGGCAGCCACGCAGAGCCTGGGAGTGTTTCAAGTACTATACTATACTATACTATGGGGTTTAGGGTTTAGGGTTCAGGGTTGCTATACTCTACTGTGATCTACGGGGTTTAGGGTTTAGGGTTCAGGGTTGCTATACTCTACTATGATCTACCACAATATACTAAGTTTCAGCCAATTGTGAGGACATGACCTGCACCGGGACCCCGGCACACACAGTGTGGTCGGAGGGCAGGCATCGCGCCAGGTGGCAAACGGCCATATCCGGGCACGAAAAAGTTGCAGGTTGAGCGTGCGGTGCAATCAAATTTCATATCCCGCGGTCTCTGTAAAAATGTCGGACTTCCTAAATTCCTCAGTTACAGAGCTTCGTACTGAGAGCGCAACATCAAATTCCAAAACACGTTGGGTCCGAGGGGGACAGCGGGGCTTGCAGCAGGGTCAGAGCTTCGAGTATAAGGGGAGCGTTGAAGGCTGTGCAAGTTCTTGGCTTTCGTGGCTTGCGAAGTCGAGTCTTGAGTTTCTGGTTGAGCGATTATCGCTGTGGGAAGAAGCTTTCCCAAACCGTACGGAAAAGAAAACATGGAGCCGAAAGAGGAAGTAGATATGCGTGAACTCTTGCGCTCCTACGAGTGCCAATTGAATGGCCGGCCCGCCTGCGCTGTCACAACTTCCGTCGCACAGCTCTAATGGGCGGCTAGGGTTACAAAGGGCAAGCTGTCGAGTCGGGTATATTGCTTGGGCTGTGAAGCCAGAGATGCTTGAGCAAACCCGTAAGACTAGTAAGCCAACTGGGGACATAACACTATCTGTCGACTATGATGCATAAGGCCCCCAACTACACCGTAGACAGCGAACGCTGCATAGACGTTGTCCTGAGCCGGGCGTTCTCCTCCTCCTGCTCTTGCTGTCGCCTCGGAGACAAGTCGCGGAAGCTAGGACGTAAAATTTGGGGGTTTCCCAAAATAGGGGACCCTAATATAGTACCCTAAATAGTAGGATCCCTATTATAAGGACCCCAAAACAAGGTACCCCCCCCAATTTTCTGAAACTCCCGTTTGGGAATGTCACAAACTCCAACAGAGACTCCTCAACCCCGAGGGCGCACTCCTCAGGGCAAACAACTCCCCGTTTCCCACACAGACAAATGAAACCCAACGAATACGCATGTATATTCGCACCGATGTATGCGCGCGTGGTTGTGTGTGTGCATAACGAATGTACGACGGAATGAGTGCATGATTTTATGGTATGTAAGTCCTGCCTCTTCGTCTTGTAGATCTGAGTCTCCTTGGCTGTGCTTCTGCAGCTGACATGCTCAAGTCCGAACCCGCCACAGACTGCTGAAGTCCCGTGATGGCGATCGATGCAACGATTAAACTTAGGGCTACTTGCAGCGCTACTCGCAATCTACAAGGAGGCTCGCAAAAAGGCTCATACAAGGTTTAAGTTCGGTTCTAGTACTCGTTGTTCGATTGGGCTGCGGCTTGGGGCTGCTCGGAGTTTCGCAGCAACGCTGCCATGCTCGTCAGCTTGCGCACTTGTAGGCCAACACTGCCAAGTGCCAAGGAGAAGCACGGCAACAGTTTTTGAAGCAATCTCTTCAACCACAACATCAGGCCAAGTGCAGTGCCTTGAACCAATCCTGACCGCCCCGAGCAAGGATATCCCTAAACCAGAACTCCAAAAACCCAATGGTTCCTCAATGTTAGCACCGGTTGACACCATTGACAATCCCTTCTGTAGGTGCCAAGGGGCCAAGTCGGCCTTCATTGTCAAGGCATCGCGAATGTCGGCACGGAGCCGATCCTCAACAAGCGTTGCAGCAACAAATCAAAGTTGCTAGGATTTCATGTAGGGCTCTTCTCCTCGAAAAGGTCTCGGGTGTACAGTACAAGAATTTAGCAGGGGGAGGTGCGGGGACTTGCCAAGTCTCTCTCTCTGTCTCCCTGCCCGTCCCGTGACCGCATCGGCCCTTACATTCTCCACGACAGACGTTCGGCTTGCAAAACGATGCAACTTGAAAGCTCCCGAAAGTCAAACCGCTCAACGTCAGACTTTCTGTCAAGTAGGGACCTGGGATGTATCCAAGGGTCTGCCGTGGCCTGCGCGATTTCCTCCATCTTGTTGCGGTCATCGACGGTCTTAGACCTTGGGGCTCCGTTTCATGCAAGGTTTACTCTGATTCCTTAGCCCATTGCATTTTCGACAAGGAAGCCAACCACAACGATTCGAACATCACCCACCGGAACTTTACTTCCGTGGTTTGGGCTCTTTGTGGTCGGGAAGGAAAGGTCATCTGTTTGATCGATCCACACTGATTTCGGGTTTATTGCGACCATGTGCCTCTGAGCACGGTTTGTCCGCATGTCGAGTTCTAATGGATGTATGGGCGATCGCTTAGTCTTGCAGGCATGGTACTTTTCTGCACGAACTTTGTCGATCTCGTGCTGCACATAATCTGCATCGTGAAGAATCTCGTCCTGTGCAGGCTGACATGATGGGCCGGACTCTTACATGCTCTGGCAGAGCAGAAGGCAGCAACGTAACTGCCACTGCGCCCTTCGCTCTTCTTTTTTCCTTCGCTTCCCATGGTCTTCGAATGCATCACCACTTCAGGAGCCGGACATCATGTGTCACAAGTTCGGACTTTGTCTTGCCATTCTGGAGGTGCTCAATCCGGGTCACTGGTCCGGCCCAACGCTGGTGAGGGCCACCGAAAGGTTTGCGCATTAACTGTGGCACGTAGACATACTCGATGTTCTTCCACTTGAGCTTGTAATCCTTGTGCACGGTTGTGGGCCATGGATTCTTCTTCGCCTTGCCCGGCGCCTCGACGTCGAGGGTGCGATTGATGCGTGGTGGAAAGGGTGGCCGCAAGTAGAACTGCCCGTCGTTGGAGGTCGAGACGCGGAAGTCGCATCGCTTCAGTTGGACGTTGGGAAGTCGGCGGACCTTTCCCTGCCGCTTCGTCGGACTCGGGTAGCCCCACGGTCGACCTGGATGACAATGGATTCCAGTGTAGCGCGTCGTGGAAAGCTTCGGCGGAAATCCGAACCTGGGCTCAGACTATTTACCAGGCTACTTCAGGTGAGGATCAACCCCAGATCACAAAAAAAACCTACAGCCCTTGAAAGAGAAGACTTCAAGAAGATCGGAGGACCTCAAAAAGCACCCACCCTGAACCCCGGCCCTGAATATTAGAACGTAAAACGCCGGATAGCCTGAGAACATCCCAAACCCGAAGGCGCGCAAACAAAAGAGACAAAGGCCCAAGGAGCCTTCACGAACTCAACAGAAATCAAACCCTACAGCCCCAAAGTCTAAACAGATCCCCAAGGAGCCCTAACTTCCGAATAACATGGCAACTGAACTCTGAACTCTTTTTAAGACCCAGAAGGAGCAGGCCCAAGGAACCAGGCCCTTGCACTTCTCAGCTGCAAGTTGGCGCTGCTCTGAGGCGCCTGGCCGCCGGCGGGTCCAAGGCTCTGGAAGAAGCCCGGTGCCTCAAAAGGGTCAAAGAGGGTGATGTCCCGAAGGGCCACTTACGAATTTACAAATCACGGGGTTGAAGGATTGCGAACAGGGTTCCAAGGGATTCGATTTGAGGCTTTTAAAGTAGGATGTTTACATGGCTGTAGGGTCTATGGGGCTTTCGGGCTTGTAGCTGGTTGCCGTTTCAGGGTTCCGTGTTTAGGCTCTCGCGGCCAGATGTTTCAGCGGATAAACCTCCGAAGCGAGGCTCGCGACGCAAGGTGCGCTCCTTGACTACGAGGCAATGGCATCTCGGCTTTCATGCAAGCTCGAATGTCTGCACGTCAAGATTCGATCTTCAAAGAGCTCCATCATGTCAGTTCGCGTTCAGGAGAGGTCTCGAGAGAAACTTTGCTTAACAATGAGTCTCATATGTGAGCACGGTCTTCAGACTGTGGGCGCACGCACACGTGTGTGTGTGTGTGTGCGCAGGCGGCAAGAGAAAAGTTCGGACAAGCGGGCCGCTGTGGGCTTCTTCTCTAGACTCCTCTTTTGCAAAATCCGGACTCCAATGGCTGTGACTGGCTGAGCTTCGCCTCTAAATCAGAACAGCTAATAAAACAAAAGATTCACGATGCCTCTCCAGGAAATCGCAGCTTGATGAGTAGCCTGTGCCTTCACAAGCCTTTACATTATAGCAACCGAGGACCTCTCCGGTGCGCCGAGTTGCGGAGCTTACTACAGAGGTGCCCGGCAAAGCGAGGCTTCCGGAGACCGCAGAGCCGGGGAGGCTCCTTGCCAAACGCTGCGTGCACCGTGTCAGGTAGTTCATGGCTCCCAAGACGTCCTGTTTAGGACGCCCGGTTCAGGAGGTTACAGTTGTTGGCAAGACGGGCTGTGATGGAATGTCAACATGAAACCTTTGGGTGGACCTACTGCCCAGTGCACTTGCCTGAGCCTGAGCTCTGTTTGAGCCACAATGCCGCGGCACACGACTGCGCACATCGGGTTCAACTCCGCAGGCGCATGGAGCCAGCTGACCTTTGTCATGCCTTGTCCCACGAGCAGCCCTGATGAGCAACGAAAAAGACCACCACCACCACCATGACCCCACAACTGTAGGCCCTGCCTTCTAAGCCCCAAACAGCCTTAAACGCCTTACTTACTCGTTTTTGGGGGGACTATACCTGAATAGGAGACTATCCATAGTAATAGTCTCCATTGTAGTTCCTTATAAGGGATCCTACATATAGAATTGGTTAAACCAAAAAAAAGAACTACAATGGAGACTATAGGTATCATTATCCAGAAGTCGAGAACCGGACTCGCCTTCTCAGCTTTCGCCCTCGCCAGAAGGTTCTCCAGCCTGAAAGCAGAATCAAAGGTTTGGGGGTTCCTTATTATCATTACAGTATAATGGGCCCCAAAAGCCTATTGTGCAAGTTTATGGTTGTTTTTGACACTCAAACTCGGATAAGCCTGGCAAGGTCTTTAGCGATACTGGTCCAACGAGGGTAGATGGTTTGGGTCTTGAGTATCCCAATAGCCGTCTAGCCCAGGCAGGGTTTTTCGCTTCAGATTTTGCTGCTGCTGCAGCTGCAGCTGCTGCTGCTGCTGCCGCTGCGGCTACTACGACCACGACGAGGACGACGAAGACACGACTGTTCATTCTGGCTAGGATCAGTAGCAGCGATGTCAGTTAGCTGTGCTTGTTCAGCCCTTTTCACCTCAAATCCATCTACACATCCCTTCTCGAGGTGCCGCCCGGCCAATGCTGCCACAGAGCTCTCGCATCTCCTGCGCATAGCGCATCTCCCTTTCCATGAAGCCTGCGCGCTGCCCAGGGCCATCCCTACAGACTCACAGGCTTGATTCATAGATGTCATTGCGCGAGCTGAAGAAAGGGGAGTGAGATGCATGATCAAGTTTCATGCGTCCGCGGCCTTTGGTCACGACACGCTCGCGCTCCTGGACAAGCAACCCACGGCTGCGTCTAGCATGCAGGTGTCCCCACCGTGTTGGGCGTATCCGCAGCATGTCCGGCTTGCCATCGCCAATGCCCCCAAAAAGGAACTGTGCAGACTTCAGCATCAGCGGATGCATCAGCATGAAAGTTTCGTGTCGGGAAGGAAAGGAGCCGTCGAAGCCTATCACTCCAGCGACAACTGGCACCATTTCCCAGTCCTCTGCATCCATCCTATACTTCTTGTTCCGCGCCACGTCAAGCTGAAGAAGATCAATGTACTCGGCCACCTGCATTCACAAAGCAAGTTCTGCTGAGAACATTCTCAAGCATAGTTCTGCAGCACAAACTTTTCAAGTAGGAACGAGACTATAAGATTAAACCACCAGAACACCAAGCACAGCAACATGCAAAATCGCTCAGCTTCGCTTTATCTCCTGGCAGAATATCCCTGCAACTCTGCTCCGCCATGAGAAGCAACGCAACTGGTCTTGATTATGATGACGAAGATCTTGACTGAAGCTTTTTGTCCTTTTACAATAACTACTCAACATGTTCACGATCAGTGTTTCTGTTGTCCCAGCCTTGATAGTACATCCTGCTTACATGAGCAAGACGTTGTAACATTGGAACTTGTTCATGCTAAGGTCAAAAACAACCTGATGCACAGCCTCGCCGAAGAAACGAGCATCTTCGACGTTGCTGTGGTTCTGCTCTCTCTGGAGCAGCTTCAATGTCCTCAGATATTGTTGACGTGAGCATGAAGGGACTCAAATCGACCTGACCCTATGCTGGCGCTAAAGCAGGCCGGTTCCTCTGATTCGAACCCATTTCAGTCAGAGCTTGGATGATCAACAAGCACGCGCCCCCCCGTGGTCTGAATGGCTCTGCAGCCAAGGTGCAGCTCCTTGCAGGCACCAAGCTTAAGTTTGGTGCTTTTCTGGAAAGCTACTAATTACAGGTCCCAATGCTCAAGTACATGTTGAGTCTTGGGTAATTCTGGATTGCCGACAGGAGAATTCTGGCATGCTCGGGAATATTTCGTGTGCTCTACGTGAAGCCGTAAAAAAGTCTGCTACAATTGCAAGATTTCGGATTCTGGTGAGGCCTTGCCAGACTTCAGAGCATCGCGCAGCCTTAATCTGACATGATGATACGTAGCGTTGGCGTAATGTGTGGTGCTAGGGTGTTGGTGGTTTTTGTCGTGGTGATCGGAAGAAGTACGTGGTAGTAGCAGCAGCACTCGCAGGTCCGCAGGTGCATGGGCAGTCGTCGCAGTTATAGTACCGGTGGAGGCAGTAGCAAACGATTACAGCCGCTTTGGCCGCTGCCAATGCAGGCTCCTCGTCATGCACTGGAGGCTGAACCTCCAAGCGGGTGCTTAGGTGCTTCTTTTGAGGGTGCAAGGCTCAGCTTTCTGTCATTTCTGTCGGGAGAGCCTCTAGAATCACTGAAGATCTTTACAACTATTAACAGCATCATAAGCTTTGTCATCCTTACTTTCGCCAGGTCGTCCCATGACTACCACTTCGCCGCTTCTGGCACTCGTTCTTACTCTGGCGACTGCTGCTCTGCTCCTGTACTGAATTCTTTTAAGTTACTGCCAACCTGAAGGCTATGATGCAGCTTGTTAAGGAGAACCTGCTACGATGACCACTGTACTTGTTCAAAGCTGACTGGGACTTAACTGGAGCCACACATGAACCCCTAAACCCTGACTCTGACCCTTCCCCACATGCAGCCGTAGCCCAAACCCTAAACCCCTAAACCCTAAACCCTAAACCCTATCTTCAGCCGCCCTTGAGCGCACCTTGGCCGGAGTCAGAGGCGGAAGGCTCGTGGTCGGCGGACCCTCCTTGGGGCTCGTCGGCCCCATTCCGCCCTGAAACAGGACACTGCAGCTCTGGAAGGTCTGACAAGGGTCTTTGGGAAAAAAACGCAGGGCCTTGGGTATGACGGTATGACGTCCCTTAGATCATGCGCCCTTCAGGGGATCGGGGTTTGGGGCGCAACAAAAGTGTTGTAAGAGCAGGATCCAAAAGGGTGAGGAGGGCTCGGGGGTCCGAGAAGAGAGCTTTGAGACGAGCTGGAGCTTACAGTAAGGGGTTCTAATCGGGGCCGAAGTCGTTCGAACAAGTTTGCTGGAGAGAACATATTGTCAACAAGCTACTAGGGGTAATAAAGCAGAGGAAGGAGGCTTGCCTTCGAACTCCCTTGGCGTCCAAAAAAACCGAGGGAACTCGGGGGGTTTTGGGGGTCCAAAGCCTTCGGCCCTGAAAGCTCCACTCTCCTCACCCCAAAAGCCCTGAGCCCCTTTTACACCTGGACCTGGGACCCTAAACCCCAGACCAAAACACGCCCTAACCCCCGAAACCCCTCAAGCACCAAGCCCAAGAATCCTAAACCTCAAAGCCTTCAGTCTCAGGAAGCAGTCAGGAGGCACGTCGACGACCATTACTAGAACAAGTTCATCTATGCTTCCAGACAGAAGGTGCCTTGCAGGACTGAGTTTATAGAAGCCACAAAGGAGGTAGAAGCCTGAAGGGTGAGGTGCTCTCGTGCTCTGACTGTCGTGATCCTTTCTTTGGCAACTTCTGCGCCTCCGAGGCGATGGTCATGTTGAGCGACCGGCCCTGAGCTTCTAACTGGGCTTCTTTCGGACTGAGAGGGGGTCGAGGAGCAACGGTATAGGGTTTCGTTTAGTATCCTTCCTGGGCTTACCATGGCCACCAGTGTGCTGCCATCTTCATCGAAGGTGCGGTCGTGCCAAAGCCAGGTGAGGCCGGCGTGGTGCTGCCGAAGCCTGTGCCGGAACTGAGTGAACAATGCGGCGGTTGATTAGATTAGACTAGCGAGCGACTTATAACAAGCAGCAACAGAAACAGCAGTAACGCAAACGCTTACAAGTTCGCTTAACAACAAGGGAGAGGCTGTAATTGCAATACTCATCATAGCCCCAAGCAGAAGAACTTGCATCGTATGATGCAACAAGAGATTTCCAAGAAGAGAGCACGTTAAGCCCCCCTCATCTCTCCGCCATCCCCCCTTCCGAATCCGAATCCCTGGGTTTAAGGTTTAAGGTTTCGGGTCCCTCTGCCATCCCCGAATCCGAATCCCACCCTGACGCTTCCCTAAACCCTACACCCCTGACAGAAACGTCGAAGCCGAGGCCTGGCGAGGCCGGCGTTGTGGGAGCGTGCGCCGACATCGGGGACATGGGCGAACCCATGGGCGAGCCCGGATCCTTCAGTCAGGGGGTTCTCGATTGCTTTTTCAAGCTGACCTAGGTTTTGGTTGCAGGGGTTTGCTAGTTCAAGGCTTGAGAGTTTAAGGTTTTCAAAGGTAGTCGGCTCTGAGGCCTTTCTTTGCGGATTCTGGGCTCACAAAGTTCGAGGGTTTAGATCAAGGGTGGGCAGCTGAGGGATTCGTACCTGGGGTGTCTCCGCCAGTTCGGTGCTAGGAGAAACTCCGAGTCCGGTGCTCCTGGTAAGGGGCTTGTACTCCCCTTTTGCTGCGCAGGTCTTCAGAAGCCCAGCTTCGGATCCTACTGGATGCCGGATGAGCTCTGATGATTTCGGTGCTTTTGTTACTACTGCTACGTCATCTGCAGCTTTCCCAGACCTGGCAGCAATCGCTAGCCTTCCACCTACTGCCAAACTCTTTCACTAGTCCTCCCGCAGCACTGCACACCCGTCGGGCTTGCCACACAACCCCATGTTATCGGGATGCAGGTTAGAGCGCCCTTCGGTTCCCCACTATGGACCAGCAACCGTATGCTGATGGCAGCTTCACTGGCTCCAGGCGAGACTTCAGGTTCGGGGGTTACAGAAGGTTGCGCGCATTGGCAATGTTGGAGACACACCGCGAGAGCATGAAACTCCATAACCTCCCTTATCTACCCCTAACCCCCCAGGTACCTACTATTTAGGGTGCTAGAGCCCCTAGGGCCCTATATAGTAGGTACCTGGAGGGTTAGGGTACAGTTTTGGGATGCTTTGGGGTGCGCTTTAGGGGCTAAAGGCACCTAGATTCGGTTTAGGTCAGTGGCTGAGGTATGCAGGTGAACGTGAAAATGAAACCAAAACGTCCTGCGAAGGTGACATCGCACGCTCCTGCCGGAAAGTGCTCGCCTGAGCACTGCCATGGGTGGAGCAAGCCAATTGTCTGGTTGACGTTCGCGTTTCAATTTTCCGACGGCTGAAGACTTCTGGTATTCTATTCATGCTCTTCTGCTGCTGCTGCTTCATCTCCGCCTTACCTTCGCATTCATGCATCGATTGCTGAAACCAGTCTCGAATAATTCTTACGATGCATCTCTCCTTGGTTGCGGTTCGCATTGAAAGACCAAAACCCTTAACCCCAAAGACCAAACCGGAAATAAAGAAACCCGAAGAAGCGGCTCTTTGCGAACTGAGGCCCTTGCTCCCATGGGCGCCGTCTGCCGGTTTCTTCGGAGGATGAAAGCAATGGCGTGCAGGGTATCCTGTTGAAACATGAAGTATAGGGCCGTAATCATCGGAAGTGGAACGGTGTAGTTCGTAGTACATTTACGCTGACTGCACCAGGAGATGGTTACTACTTACTCAGAACTATGTTAGGGTCTCGTAGGGTTTGACTTGCAGGATTTAGGGCTCCACAGAATTATATCAACTAAGAATGTAACTTCCTTCTTAAGTTTGAGGGTTCTAACCTAGTTGATGACCTCGCCAGGGTTTCTGTTTCAAAGATCTGTGAACCTCAGAAATTTGCATCGGCACACCAGGCTTGCAACACTCCGATGCCTTGCGGGGTTCATGATTTAGCTCAGCGATTTGCCGATTGAAACCTCATCTTAACTGCAATTCCATGTGTTTGTGAAGTGTAGGGGCTTGCGTATTTGGGTCTCGGTTCAAGTTCCGATTAATCAAGGCTTGCACCAAATCACAACTATGCCGACTGCGAGCACGTCGATGACGATGACCATCGGTTGTGAGTGTGACGATGCTTGAAAGTGATGGTGGTGGTGGGAATGACAACGATGACGGCTATTTGCATGCTCGAGGCTGCGGATCCTGTTGCCATCAAACAGCCCACTCGACATGCTGACCAGAGACTAAATCAAACAAGCTTTATATACACCCGAAGTCCGAAACCCCCACAACCTAAACTCCACATCTTATCTGCCGCGCCCTTCTGCCACCTGTGGTTCGTGCGCGACGACGACGGCCAAGTACTACTACTTATGTAAGACCATGCAAGACGTTAAATTCGTCCAGAACTTTGACGACAAGAGACCTCGGCCAAACGATTGCCGCTGAGCTGGCAATCGATCAGTGAGTGGTTCGCCTGTGCGGTTGCCAGGGGGGTTCGCTTTCGGCTCCGAGGTTTAGAGCTTTTGCTTTGCAGTTTTTTGGAGGAATTTTAGCTCACTCATTTCTAGTTTCCGAGACCTGCATGGCAGGTTGCAGCGAATGAGGCACAATGACGGTGGGACAGATCATCTTGACATCTTGAGCGCGAAGGTATGCGGACCCTTTGTTTTGGGGTTTCAAATTCAGCTGTTGTAGATTGAATTGCGCTACTGACGGCAAGCAGTGATCAGTGATCACACAGGGCACTACATGCCAACAAGATAGTTCCATGTGCAGGGCTAGTAACTCAGGCCGGTGAAGATTTGGAGTGCAAGGAATCAGAGCTGCAATAAGAAAACCCATCAAAAGTCATCACGGGTTGCACCTCCTGTGAAGTTTCAACCGCTTGCGGTTCCGGGCACAGGATTTCGCTGGAGTCTCCGTTTCCAGAAATAAGGGACCCTAACATAGTGCCCTAACAATAGGATCCTTACTATAAGGACCCCCAAAATAAGGTACCCCCCCTTCTTATCGGAAACTCCCATGTGAAGAATGACCAGGGCTTGGGTTCTGACTGCCATGTCGCACAACAACACCTTAGCCAAAGACACGTGAGTGCCACCACGACTAACCATCCTAAGCAGTAATCATCGTCGTCACCATCACAATTACCATGCTCACCATAATCACCGCCAACACCCCCGCGATCATCATCATCATCATCATCATCATCATCATCACAACCACGATCATCCTGATCACGCGTGGTTTTCGCTCTCCAAAGAAGGAGCAACGGCAAGCTCTGACACACGGGTCACCTGCCTGGAGGCCGTCCAAGAGGGCCTTTCCGCCCTCTATCCCGAGGTCGTTCCAACTAAGGTCCAGGTGCGTCAAGGTGCCTGAGAGGCTTCGATGTGGGTAGTTGTCAAAATTATGGTCCCTTTTGGGGTACCCTAAATAATAGGTGCCGTATTATAATAAGGACCCAAAAAGGGACCATAATTTTGACAACCACCCATGTGGGGGTTGCCTGAAGTTATATTCGAGGTAGATCGAACAAACTTAGGCATGAGACTAGCTTCTCTGAAAAGTTGGTGATGCTACCCAGGAGCAGTTTTCCCGGAGCATGTCGCCGAGGAATGGTCCACAATCTGTGCCGATCTTGTTATTCCTCGGTGCACAGGCCGCGGGAACGACTAGAATCTCTGGTTACCTCCAAAGCCGAAGCCCTAGGCGGATTTCTTCCGACAGGTCCGAAGGATCAGAAGACGTGACGTCTGCGTCTCAGCGACCGCAAATCGACGTGCGTGATGGACTGATTTTCCTCGGTGAGGGTCCAGGGTAAGGCTCTGAGATTTCAGACTCTCTGCATATGGAGGTCAATGCCGTCTCTCGCTTCGATCAATGGTTGAAGCCGGAAGCAGGGGCCTCGAGCCCTAGACGGAACCCTGTGGAACCCCAACGGCTAGACTCACTGCAAATGCTGCTTCGCAACCTTCAGCACGTCGCAGAATGCCTGAATGCCCCGTGGGTGACCTGAGAAGCCGCGTTGATGTGGTAGCTGCTGGTCAAGTCGCTTGCCGGGGAGGTTTCGACACTTGTTTTGGCTTCGGTTTGGGGTCGTCGTATTCGGCAGCCTTCGAATGCTCCCGATTCGGGAGACGGAGTTCCAGAACTGCTGCATTCCGAGGGTCCTGGAGGGTGAACTGACACTCGTCATTTCAGATATAAGGATTTCGGGATCGCGCGATTGAACAGTAAAGTGCCTTCAACACCGGCTCGGGCTTGAGGCCAAGTGGGTGGCCAAAGGGGGGAGACACCCGAACCCGCTGCTCCTGGACACACTCAAAGGCCATCTCGTCTCTCCCTCTCTCCCGCCTGCTAGAGCAAACTAGTAGCGCTCGTTTCCCGGGAACTTCATGGTACTGAAAACAAGCACATAGCCCACCAATATGCCAGTCTTCCTAGAATCATGAAATCAAGGTGTTGAGTCCAAGCCGCTGCCAATCTGGTTCCACTTGAAGCACACCTTGCCGCAAAGGGCAAGCAGTGCAATTTCCCGTCGCTTGCTCAAAGAGAGGTTTACGAACCAGGCGAGTGATCTCCATCCTTCCTTGCCACATTGGGGATAAAGAAAATACTCCGAGAAAATGACGCCTTTTCTGGTGCTCTTCTCGGCGAATCAAAGGAATCTGCATCGTGCCGACTGCCGGAAAGCTATCCTCGCTTCTGCGAAAGGTGGCAACAAAGACTCCTGAGCTTCGCACACTCGTCATGTTGCCACCGCCTGCACGGCTGCCAGAAAACAATGGATCTCAACGTAGACCCCAACATGGTAAGATCCTCTTTTCTTTGAGAACCCCTAAATACGGTAATCCCCGATATTCTTGAACCCTCCTTTGTTACCTACGTCTTGGCGTTGATAGAAGCTCCAAGTCCCCAATGCTCCGTTTCTCATTCAGCCCGGACAGTGCCCGGACTCAACACAAAAGGCAAATACATACGCACCTTTCCGCAGGTTTGAGGGAGTCGTTTACCCCTTCCCCGGCGCGTCTGCACACCCCTTTTTCAAGCACACACCTCTCTCTCTCTCCCTCTCTCTCTCTCTCGGTGTCTCTCGGTCTCTCTCTCTCTCTCAGAGACTCGGCCTACGGTATGTGAAATGTGTGTGTGTGTGTGTGTGTGTTTGTGTGTCATGACTCATGACTATGTATTGTGCGGCAGCGTGTGGTGCGTATCATCGAAGATAGGGAGAAACTTGAATGCTGAAGAGCTTGCATATGCACATAGATACTCAACAAGCACATCTAGATAGACACACTTTCACACGAAGCACCACGAGTCTACATAGAAAAACAGAGATACCATGTCCCGACTTCTTCCAGCGCACATCAACTGATGGCTCCGCAACAGCCGGAACCTGTACGAAGCCCATGCGCCAAGACCACAAGACCATCGGCTCCTCGGTGGGTCGCTTCATGCAGCGTGTTGTGGGGTGCAGGCAGAGGGTGTACGAAGCGGATTGGGGCCTGATTCGGGGGTCCAGGTTCAAGGCTTCGGGTGCGATGTCTGCCAAGCTCTCACTGCCGGAAGCCTGGGTCTCGCAGGCCGTAAGCCTGCGAACAAAAAATCCTCGGCCCTGGACTACAAGCCCTCAAACACCAAGCACAAATTACGCCGGAAAAAACAAACCCTAAACAACGCTTATCGCCAACAACCATATTGGCGATGTAATCGGCAGTTGTCAGGTGACTTGTGTCCACGGGCTCTGTTTGCTGCTCGGTTCCTGCTTCCTCCACTCCCTTGCTTTCAAGTTCACGACTCGTGGCTGATTTTCAATCTCTTGTGGGTCACATTCGTGGTCGTCTTCGTTGCAAAAATTACATCGGTGGCGGGGTCTGCGTTTGGTATAAACCGACAATACCATCCGCATGTCGTGTCTGTAAACTTGTGTGTTATTGCGGTGCTGCTGCTGCTGCCGCTGCTGTAACTAGTGCTGATGCTCCCGGGGCGTCGACGGCCACTACTGTAACACATAGCTGTTACAGCTCCTCGCCCTCCCGCTTCTACTGCTCCTGCTGCTGCTCCTACTACTGCTGCTACTACTACTACTGCTGCTACTCTACTGCTACTACTACTGCTACTACTACTACTACTACTACTACTACGACTACCACTACCACTACCACTGCGACGACGACGACGACGACTACTACTTTCACTTGCTACAACTGCTGCTGCTACTGCCACTGTTACTACTGTCACTAGTGCTTCTTCTGCTGTTGCTACGACTAGAATGACTACGGCCACTCCTGCCTTCGAGACATCTGTGTCAATTCCACGACCAATCCATGAAACATTGCGCATATAATTTCGGCAGCGCTGCTTTCAACATAGCATTGTCGTCGCAGTTTCGCCGCCCATAGCGTCAGCATCATGATAGATCAAGCTTGCCTCATCGTCATCATCGTCGTAAACTTTAAACACCATCACCAGAGTCATTTTTCACTGCTGTCACGGCAGTCAATCGGCAGTTCCAGCGAATCCCGTCACAGCTGGTGGAAGGGTTGCTCTTGAGGCCAAGGTGCTGATGTTGTTTCCTCGGAGGTCTAAGGTCCGTAGCATGACCTCGGCACTGGAGCAAACGAATCACCGCACCAAACGACCGAAATATACTTTCGGCCACAGTCGGTGGGGGTTAGGGTTCTGTTATGTGAGCACCCATATTTACTATTTTCGACACGAGACTGCAGGGATTGCAAGGTAGCAAAGCCAGAAGGATTAAAGGGTAGGAGAAAGGAAGGTCCCGTGGCTTTCTTCTCCGACTCCGGACCAGAAAACGTTTCAAACCCCATAGCGTTCTGATACCTGGAGCCCGATAGCAGTGCAAAGGCTCACCAAAACCTTCAAGATTGAGCGGGGTCTTGAGAGTTGGAAAGAACACCACCAAAACGCACATTTTTTGTTCGGAATGCTCGGAATTGTCATATCCAATTTGAAGCATACGACTCCAACGCCATCCGAAGCCTAAACTCTAAACCTGGAAACCCCAAACCTCACCAACTGCGCCCCACGCCGAAGCTCTAAACTTGGCGAGACTGAAAACAAATGAACTTAAAGTCAACACACTCAAAACTTCCGCCTGCACGCACCATGACTAAACCTCCGTGAACCCAAGCGAGAAGGACCGCAATAAGAGCACTATTCCAGTTAAGCCTCATTTGATGATGGTAAGCATGAGTTTAAGTTGAGTCATGCCCAACCATCATGGTAGCAAGAACAGGCACGCGCCGAGAGTAGACATACTTGCCAGTCTACGCCAAGGCCCGTACATTCTCCCGCATGTAGCGCGCGATGGCAGTGCAGCCATCGTCACCAACGGAGGCGTACGCCAGGGACAAGGCTGTAGAGTCCTGGGGACGAGAAAACGATACCAATGATGACGATGCTGATGCTTAAAACCACTTTGGTCCTTCACTGTTACTGACACACACACACACAAATTACTCACTTCACATTACTATGGGATCCAGTATGAGTATTGAAATTACTATTGCCACTGTTACGGTTTTTGGTACTGCCATTGTTGTAGGATGAAAAGGTGATTATGATTATGTTCACGCTCATGATGACGGTTCTTACGATGAGGATGATTTTATACTGATTTTTTCTATTAATAGTCGTCGTAGTAGCAGTAGTAGTATTAGTACTAGTAGTAGTAGCAGCAGCCGGCGTGGGAGTAGGAACAGGATCAGGAGGAGCAGTAGTAGTAGTAGTTGTTGTTGTTGCTGTTGCTGTTGCTGTTGCTGTTGCTGTTGTTGTTGTTGTTGTTGTTGTTGTTGTTGTTGTTGTTTTGTCACCCACTTGGCACGTCGCCGACAGCACTGCAGGGTCTTGACTACTGACGAGACGCTAGACAGACAGGCCTTTTGCAAAGATCAACACCAACAAAGCAACACAACCCAAGCGTGTAAAGCTGCACATGCCCGTCTTTCTAGGGAAAAGCTGCCGATCGTGAGACGCGAAGCTTGTGAAGCCCATGGCTACCAGCGCAGCAAGCAGCAACATGCGAAGATCAGTCAATTCACAACTGTATGTGCGACACCTACACACACTGCTCAGAGCTCCCAGGTACCAAGTAAAAACAACCAAGAAGCTCGGCAAAGAAACCATAGTTCAAAGGCTAACCAAAAGACATCAAACCTCGTACCTGACCGGGTTTAGGCGCTGGGCAAACATTAAACAGTCCATGCAAAAATAATACAAGGGAAAGCTGGATTAGTGCAAAGTTTGCAAATGGAACGTACCCTAACTCTGGCATGCATGGTGTGTGTGCGGCTCTCTTCCGTCCTCAAAAGCCAGAAACAACAAACCGTAGACCCGACACCGACAAGTAGTAGTAGTAGTAGTAGTAGTAGTAGTAGTAGTAGTAATAGTAGTAGTGGTAGTAGTAGTAGTAGTAGTAGTAGTAGGGGTAGCAGAAGCAGTAGGAGTAGGAGTAGTAGTCGTAGTAGAAGTAGTAGTACTAATAGTAGTAGTACTAGTAGTACTAGAAGTAGTAGGAGTAGCAGTAGCAGTAGTACTAGTAGTAGTAGTAGTAGTAGTAGTAGTAGTAGCAGTAGTAGTACTAGTAGTAGTAGAAGCAGCAGCAGGAGCAGCCGCAGCAGTAGCAGCAGCAGCAGCGATAGCATTAGCGATAGCCGTAGCAGTCGCAGCAGCAGCAGCAGTAGCCGAAGCCGTAGCAGTTGCAGTAGCAGCAGCTAACACTAGTACTTATACCAACACTACTACTAATGAACTAATGCTAGTACCAAAACCGATTCCAATTCTAACACGAGTACAAATACTAAAACAAATGCTCATACTAATACTACTCATGATACAGGCACTACCGCTAATTAAGGAGAAAACCAAAAAGCCTAATGCTAGTCATGATACAAACACTATCACCATTGCTGAAGCTAATGCTAACACTCATACTGACACTAATGCTAATTCTAATTCTAACACTACTTCTAATACTACTCATGCTAACGATTACTAATGCTCATACTGATGAGACAAATACTCAGTTCAATACCGATAGTACTGCTAATACTTCAACTGCTACCAGTATCAGTATTCATTATTGCTGCAACTGCAACTGGAACTGCTACTGCTGCTGCCACTGCTGCTGCTATGACTACGACTACGTTATTTCCTAAGCAGATACTGTTGTGGTGAAGTCGGCTAAACTGCTTCAAGAGGCACTGCACGCACGACAGAAACCTGTCCAGCAAGCTGTTTTCAAATACTCAACGACATTGAAATCTCGAAGTAGGAACACAAGTTCTCTGCGTTGTAGATCTCCACAGCACACATACCATATCAGTCCAACTGGCTTGAACAAATAGTTGTACTCCGGACCATCGCCTTCACGGTCCTGGTTTGCGGGCTGTGCGGACCCCCTCCAAACTACACCCGAACCGATGACTTAGGTAAGTCTCTATTGACTCCGTGCACCCTTATGCTGCCCCTCCCAGACAACGCAACACAAGGATTCTTCTCGCAAACCCAGAAGGAAGCGATTTCTGAACTTCTCCGGCATCACATGCATGTTTCTTTCGCATTTTCCTCTTTCCTCAACCAGCAAAATGTGTAAACAGCTGCCGAAACCAACAGCACTGTCCTGACTGCTTCATGCACACGGAAGTTTTCTCAACCCTCGCACTCCCCTGACAAAGCCGTGGTCCTTTTTCGCGCTGCTAGCGCTCTCGCTCATGGGCCGCGCACGAATACCGGACAGCGTAGGGAGCCCAAGCTCGGGCCGACTGCAACAAAGCGCGCGCCTGCTTCGATGCACACTTGCCCGAACACTCAACATGCACAGAGTGCCGGATGAAATGAAACACTCAAATCTAGTACTGGCGCCTGTGCGCAGGGTCCCTGTTTCAGAGACAGAGAGAGCGAGAGAGAGAGAGAGAGAGAGAGAGAGAGAGACAGAGAGAGGATGGAGAGGCGGGGGAGGGGGAGGGGGACTAAACTCCGAAGCTCAAGACCCCAGCCCACAGAGGGGCAGGGGGGATGACCGCAGGCACAACCATTGAAAGAAGTTCTAAAACCAACCACCCAACCCTTCCGCACGCAAGCTCAAGGCCCAAGCTGTTCCACGGGCGGGGGGGAGGGGGGATGACCAGGTGGACGGAAGGGGGGGGGAGCGGAACCATAACGTAACAAACAGGGAACCCAACAATCGAATTCAAGACAGTATCAATGTCATATATACTGCAATTAGCTAAAGACATACAATATCAACACAACAGTATATATGTGCAAAGTAAAGAGATGATCATATTCACAAATGTGACATACATCGAGAGTCCTAACTTGTTCCTACCTTTTGTGATATCATAAATCCTAATGCAGAACATTGTACGAGATATGACATTTTACATTACTACAAGCACAAGAGCCTTCAACCATATAACGTCGTGAAAAGTTGTACAGTAGTCTATAGCAGTTTTCCCACCCGCCCAGCTGACAGAGTCGCACTGCAGGGAAATCGACCGAATCAGGAAAAAGCAACTTCAAGCCCCAGTGCGCGTGTGAGTGCAGTTGTGTGTATACATGCATGCATTTGTCAATGTATAGTTCATACCGCTGACTACATACTCTATAATATGCAACATGAGGCGCCGTACACATCCAATCAAAGTGCTGCATATTTCATTATCGGACCTCAGCCGGTCTATAACTGTATACAACTAAGACATGTATATATAATACAAGTTTATAGCTTTATACTTACATTTCTGAAAACTTATGTGTGCATATATATATATATATATATATCTGTGTGTGTGGCGGGCGGTGTGTCTATCTTGATTTGCATATATCTATATATATATATGTATATATTATACTATATAAAAGCATATTCATAATCATAGTTGCATCTGCATGCATATCTATATCTATGTGCATGTATATATATATATATGTATATATATATGTATATATATATATATAATGTATGTGTATTTACATATATATATATATACGTAAAAAATATACATATACATCCACATATATATTCATAATGATATATTACGATGATATTTATAAAATTATAACTTATACACTCATACAAATGTACATTTATACATTTACATACATCGTTTATGTATATATAGAGATACTGATTATATATACATATATGAGAATAGTCTACATGTATAAGTACATGTATGTGTATCTGTATCTGTATATGTGTATATGTATACATACACCATATATATATATATATATAGATACGCAATACATTTATAGTCATATTTACTTTCTCATACTTACAGATATACCAAATCAAACGTTCCACATATTGTGACAGATTTTTCCATGTGTTAACATGTTGGGAACCATTATTTTACATTCCTCTTAGTGCTGCACCATGGCCCAGCAAACACGGTCAACCCTTAAAGCATTGCAACGGGGGCGGCTTCCAAGCAGAGCCGAGAAGGGACCCACACGATTGAAGATGCCCACTTTGCTCCATTTTGGCAGTGCTCATCCAAGCCTTGCCGTCGGTCCAAGCGACTCGAGCATGCAGGCAGAACACTGTTTGCGAAAGCTTGGGGTTCGAGGGCAAGAGGTTCAGGGTCGCTTGGTCATCATCATGATTAGGACTCTTACGTGGCAGGATCTCGGAGTTGCGATACAAGGTGAAGTATGGAACGTCACTCTAAGCTTACAACCGTTTGCAAAGTTGCATTGACATAGGATACCTTTCAAAGCCGAGTTCTCCCAAAGGCTGCTAACCTACACCACCACAAAAGAAGCAGTTCATGGACCCGGAGAGCTACGACGAGCCCTGGGGCGGCGCAGTTTGCCCTTCACTGGCGGTGCTTGTACTGGTCTGCGCAGACCTGGCAAGGCTGTCAAGTCCTGGGCACCCTGGCAATCTGACGTAAGGAACAGCATGGACGAGAAAGAGCGTGTTGCCGGTACCGTGGGAGAATGAGAAGGACGAGCTGAGAAGGACGAGCAAGAGAGGAAGAGTAGAGCTGAGAGTGGGTTAGTCAAGTGTTGTCGGTGGCACGGTAACGCTAAGGAGCCGTGACACCTGCGAAACCTTACAAACACATATTGCATCTGGAGCTTATTTGAGACCGCACTCGCTCCCTGCAAACTTGAATCACAGATTTTGGCAGAGCAGGGCCCGGCCCTGCTCTGGAAGCTGAGCTTCGCCGGGAAAGCACCGAGCGCTGATGGGCAACAAAGCTCTGCCTGAGCGGTGTCGGCAAACTCTTCCCTTCTGGATGTTGACACTCACTGGTTGTTATCTAACTGTTTTCTGCCTCGCGTGGGTTCTCTGCTATTGCTGTGTGATTGAATCGTCCTATTCCCACCGCGGGTGCTGTCTCCACTGCCGCGA